ACACCTTATTCCTACTTGAATAATAGAAAATTTCACTAGAGTAACATTATTGCACTCTCGATTACTTCCAAATTACAATTAATTTGTTTCTCGATTAATTATTCCATTTATCTCCTCATGTTTAAGATATAATGTTCGTTGATTAATTTAATTACTGACAATACAACTAATCAGATTCAAGTACCACCCAATTCTTTATTTTTATGTCAGAAATTAATCTATCTGCCGAGTTTAACATAATAATTTTCTTGATCTCATTTCAGGGACGTCATCAACCCAACAGATCGGGACACGGTGACTGTAAACAATCTTAACGGCACATGATGCACTCATCATTATTTGCCAAAATACAGAGTATGTCGACCTGATAAAATAAGTCTCGCCCATAGTAAATCCAATAAATAACTACCGAATACATATGTCCGTTTATTGTCTTGGGGGATAAGAGGAAGCAACAATTACTGAGGTTTAGATCATTTATTTGGTCAGTATAACATAATTTTACTCTATCGTAGGTCTGTTCAATGCATACAAAATGTATCAGTGTAATTCGTTAGTCAAAGAGCAACTAACTCGAATATCACACTATAGTCTTTCACGACAGTTAGTTCAATTCCATCTGGCCCGTGAAAAAATATTTATATTTTATAAGACACCGATAACATGATCTTTCATCGAACCATATTATCTACAATATAAAATAAAAGAACTATACATGACAAAAGACACAAACCGATCCAAAATAAAATTTTGAGTAACATAAAGCCCAGCTAGCCCAGCTTCTACGGTATACTATAACAGTCCCATCTCTGGCCAAGATTGCACGACTGGGCTGCCCAAGTGTCCAAGCTACCCGTTTGTACTACTCAGGTGCCCAAATTATCCAATTCATGTACTCTTCTTCCACGTGTGGTTCTTATCTTAACTATATTCTTCTTATCTATTATGTAGTGTGTTCAAATTAGGCTACCTCATTAGGTGGTCTAATTGTGTGACCAAGTTCATATATAATCCAGTTGGGGAATATGGATAAGGGGAATTAAACATGCATGCATACTGGTTCTGAGTTGGCAGTACGGAAGCGTAAATAAAGTACAGTACAATACGAAATTATCTTATTACATGCCAACATAAACATAAACATAATAAATGTCCAGCTGTTGTCGGACACCACCACACCACTGCTCGGCTCACGCTCCAGGCTGTACTCCATCACCTAAAAAGATAAATAGTGGGGGCGTGAGCACTAAATCACCATGCTCCGCAGGAACCAACACTGAATATACAGCACATGTAATCAAATATCATGAACTCAACATATACATAAATAAAAATGTACTGTACTGGTGCAACATCTGGAAACTGGCCAGATTATCATGTGATCACAGGGGGTCGCCTCCCTCAGAAATCCAGGATGGAAATAACTACCATTTAAAACCGGGTGAGTGACTCAGGATGGGAAAAACCTTCCATACAAGACCGAGTCATCATAACTGGACTCACGAAAAACTGGGTAAAAATTTTCGCGGTTGTTTTCGAAAGATACTGTTAGGAGTTTCGAAAAACACTTAAACTTAATTGACTTGCGGGATGCTACTTACTCACTGACTTGACCTTTCTTTTACTTATGCATGTAACCCAATCGACATGTATAATCCAGCTGGGGAATATGGATAAGGGGAATTAAACATGCATGCATACTGGTTCTGAGTTGACAGTACGGAAGCGTAAATAAAGTACAATACAATACGAAATTATCTTATTACATGCCAACATAAACATCAACATAAACATAATAAATGTCCAGCTGTTGTCGGACACCACAACACCACTACTCGGCTCACGCTCCGGGATGTACTCCATCACCTAAAAAGATAAATACTGGGGGCGTGAGCACTAAATCACCATGCTCCGCAGAAACCAACACTGAATATACAACACATGTAATCAAATATCATGGACTCCGCATATACATAAATAAAACTGTACTGTACTGGTGCAATATTAAAAAACTGGCCGGATTATCATGTGATCACATTATGGGGGGTCGCCTCCCTCAGAAACCCAGGATGGAAATAACTACCATTCAAAATCGGGTGAGTGACTCAGGATGGGAAAAACCTTCCATACAAGACCGAGTCATCATAACTAGACCATGAACGGGATAACTCAACCGTTCGGGTAAATATCTACATACATACCTCATACAATATATATGATTATAAGCGATGTAATACCCAGTGCATGGCCCCCACCTGATTATGCTGAAAGACTGTCTAAGTGCTGAAAAACTGGTGCAGCTGTTGGAGGCTCGACTCTCCACAAGCTACCAAACATATACAAGCAAATATATCTAAGTATTTTGCTTGACTGATACATCTGATTCTGAAACTTTAACACTTATGGTGGCAGATAGGCAAGCAAGAGATGCAAAAACATATAAAACATATAGACAATTAATTTACACAGATAAAACAAACACAAGTTAATAAACAAATAATACTGGAACTAGCTTCTCGGCTTGACTAGACTGATATCGAGCTTCCGAATAAAATCTGACAGAAGCTCAGAAACTAAAATTATTAGTCTATCTTTATCTGGCATGAACCGACCAACTCTTATACTTAAATACGTGCTTAGGATTGTGTATATACTCATGTTCAAATACTTTTATTTAAACGATTTAAAATGAGCTAATATACCCCTTAACCTTATGATTTTTATAAAATCATATAAACATCCTAAAATACTGAATTTTAGTAGTCTCATACCTCACTTAAACATGCATTTCTAGTTAAAATTCAGCTTATTCTAAGTTCATTTGGTTGGTCAAACAATTACATCAAATTCGCATATAAACATGCATTTGACCTTTCTATCTTCTAGGAATTTTATAAAATTTTATACTTAGCTTCTGAAGCTGAAACATTACCACAATGATCACAACTCATACAAGACATAACCATAGAAATATCAGATCAAAAGCATTACTGTAAGCTGAGTTCTATTGCAACAAAGATCAACTTAACATGCTGATAGTCTATAATTCATATCTTTCTTATTTCTCAACATTTTGAGCTGAAACTTAACAGTCATACTCTTAACTCATATGTTAACATGTCATAAATATTTCATGTTAAAATCATCTCTGCGGACTGAGATATTCGCAATTTAAGTAGCAGCTGAAACTAGGCATTGAAAATGCGGTTTGCACACTTAACTTCAAATATCTATAACTTGAGCTATACCTAAATGACATGATTCTTATTCCTATGTACTCCTATTTAACACAAGAAATAGTCGTATAAAGCATATTTTCCCAAGTTTTGCATAGCATGGTAAAAAACGCAAGCAAACATCACATAAGAAACACTCATGCGAGCTGTGACAACTTTAACTTCTTGCATGCTTATATAGACTTAAAAACTGAACATATAGCATAGTAATAAATCAAACAACTCCTCATATCATCTATAACATGATTCTAAAATGATTTTAGCACACCTACCTCTTAATCTTCAAAAAAATGCAAAAGAAGTCGGGTATGCTTGGTTGTCGTGCTTGTTGCTTGAACTCGCGTTGCTTCAGCTTCTTTGCTTCCTTCTAGAAATATGGTGCTTCTAAACTCTTCTAGGATGAAAATAGGATGATGAAGGATGCTTAACTTGCTGGAGTTAAACGAAATGGCTTGCTAAAACTCAAGACCACTCGGTCTCACTCAAGCTCTCTCTCTCTCGGGGGTACTCTAGTTTGCTCTCGGCTTTGGCTATGGATGGAGGACTTCAACTCGAATTTTTCTAAGTATTTGGAGCATCAAGTGAGGCCTGAAGGTGGCTGAAAAGAGGTCTATATTCTGGTCTTAGGGCGTTACAAAATATGCTAGGAAGAGGAAGACAAAAACTAGAAAAATCCAAACTCCTATGCACAAGGTTGGCTTGGCACATGATGGTGGGGCATTGTGCTGGTTAATGGACTGAGCATCTCTGGTTTTTAGCACTAAAAGGGCTGATTAAGCTCTGGTCAAAGCACATGAAGACAAGGGGGGACAATGCACTTACACCATTCAATAAAAAATTCATGCTCATGATAGATTAAGGCATAGAATATTGTTAATGGAACTTTAGACTTTGCTAACTCTTCTTAGGATTAATTAGGCATAGAAAACACTTAATTCCCCCTCTTAAGCACACATAAGGCACCATGTTTGAAAGAGGAACAAGTTAGGGTGAACCTTGGCTCGACACTAGGGCTCAATACATGATCTCATATACTTAGCATGAACAAACGATATAACTTAAATATACTAACATATATGAATAATATTAACGCAAATAAACACATAATTCACATAATAACTCTTGAAATTACTTAATCGAACAACTTTAGGGTTCGAATATTTACCGAATTCACTTTAAAGTCGAGCAAGTGAAAACGGATTCAATTTATTAACTGATCGGGGTACATTGACCTACATACCTCAAGATCGAGTTTCCATGAGGCTAACCAAAAACGCTAATTCAACCTATTGGCAGACTCTTTCTTGTGAGGTCACCATCGACATGGTAATTCCTCAACCTTCGTTGTCCTTGATGTCTTGCCGACCTACAAATTCACCTATCAGGTCGGACCATCTTTTAGGTCGTACTGGACCTAGTATGGTATCCAATATCAAAAGCAATTCTTGTATACTTAACATTTGGATCATCCATTGAGAAGAGAAAACCTTGTTCATACACGAGTTGCAACCCTTCAGTACAAATTGTAGGCAGATTGTCAAACAAGCTCCTAAATCTTGTATATAAAACACAGTTCATGTATAAAAATGTTTACCTACACCAACTTGGGGCACAAATTAAAAGGGAAAACCTTCTTAAATTTCTCCAGCAATCAAAATTCTTGCAAACATCTTGCAGTTAGGTGACATCTTGTATCTATATGAATACAACACACTTGTACACAAATGCATATATCAACTGTTAATTCAAATAATAAAAGACAATTCAGCTTTCAGAAGTCACGGTAGCATCAGCTACAGGACTAGCACTTGAAGAAACCTTGTCCACGGTATAATCAGCGACAGGACTAGCACTTGGAGAAACCTTGTCCACAGTCGAGCCACAAGGTCTGCCAACAACTGCATTATCCATATTCATATCCAAAGACATCGGAGTAGGGCAATCAGAAACAGAAACACGATCATCAGATTGCTTTGATCTATTCAAGGCATTGCAATGCGGGCAGTAGTAAGTGACGTATGGAAAGTCTTCTTTCCTTGCAAGCCCTATGAAATCAAGACAACAAAAAAAGAAATATCAAGATTAAGAGTAGCATTTCTCCACTATAAGACAATCCTTCATTCATGGATCCCCATTTAAATTCTACTTGCATGACCCCCTTACGCTTGGAAAACATTTTATTGACATTAACCCCAGAATTACGTATGGTTTATACTCTCTATTTAAATTCTATTAGCAAAACCCCTAAATCGAGCGGCATTTCACGCTTTGCCTATTGGGTTTTATTTTAACTCACCGTAACCTGGGAGTAATGCATTTTGTTCTCTCCCCCTACTCGCCTAACAGATATATCAAATATTGGATTGAGCCAAATATTCATGAAAAGTAAATTGCAAAATGACAGTTCATAGGAAAAATTAGTTGAGAGTGGTTTTAGGTGTAATATAATCAAATTGCATTTTACCATTGTGCATGTGGCAATTTCCACAGATAAGCGCATACGACTGGGTTGGGTCCTCCCCCACAAGCAAGGCAGCAAGTCGGGCAATCCATCCTCCGTCGTTCGAGGTCAAACCTGCTTGAGGGTGATGCTCGACAACAAACTGATGCTGTGCAGACAAGTCGGCCACCTCAAACCCAGCAGGATCAATCTTTCCTCCTTCAGGGTGACTCACAGGCCCGCTTTCTATGCTACTAGTTTTCTTGTGCGGCTGTTTTCTATGTCTCAAACCAGCAGTGTTGGATGCCAGTTCAACATCATTGCTCTTTCCAGTAAGGGCACTGGGGTTGGCATCGTCCTCCACATATACCTTGAGACCAGAATCTGCACCCAACTTTGATGCCAACACCGTGGCTGCAGCTGCTTTGGCTGCTGGATCCGGGTCGTACCTCTGCACTGAAGATTTCACGTAAGAGACTAATAAAATTTTAGGGCAATACAACCATAGTTAAGAGAACAGGCCTGTCGGACCAGATGGAAAAACCGGTCTGGTTCTATTGGAAAAACCGGTTGCTCAAGAACCGGTCTTTGACAGATCGAATCAGTCAAAAATCGGCCAGACGTACCAGATCCTTTTTTTTTTATCTTTGATAAACTTAATATTAATATTTTTCATATATTTTTAAGATAAATAAAATACATATTTAATATGTAAAATAATGTATAAATTACTATATCAATTAGTTTGGGCATTTGGATGTTTCAAAAAATCAAAATATTTAATAAATGTTTTTCTATAAAAAATTTATTATTAAACTTACTATATATTTAAAAATATTAATGAATCAAATACCGGGTTCGGTCGGACCCGTGAACCATTGAACCACTAGTTTGACCACTCCGATTCTTAGAACCTTGAATACAACCAAGGTTCTCAAAACCGGATTGCTTGATTGGTTCGATGATCCACTTCCAACCACAGCTGGACCAATATTTATTTTATTAATATTTTTAAACATATATAATGTTTTTTTTATAAGGGTAAGACCTGCGTATAACTGACCCCCCAGACCCCCCAGTCTGTTGGGAATATACTGGGTATGTTGATGTTGATGTTGATGTTGAAACATATATAATTTTTTTTTAATAATAAAAATTATACATAAAAACTATGTTAATTAAATATTTAGTCAATTTAAAACATTCAAATGCTTAAACTAACTAATAATAATTTATATATACTCACTATATTTAAATATGTATTTTTTTTATTTATATTAACAATATTTTAAATATATTACATATATTAAAATTTATCTAGAATAAAAAAAAAAGACCAATTCTGACCGGTTTGCTGGCAATCGGTTCATTCTAGCAAACCGGACTGGTCAATTGACTGGTCCGACCGGCCGGTTCTGTCCGGTTTTGAGAACCATGGATACAAGAGACCCGAGGTTTAGTACTAACGCATTGCGGTGCTTCAGTTTGGATAATTACAATAACGCACTTGATGATGTTGCGGTTGCTTGAATTTTTTAAATTTTCACTAAATTAAAAACAAGTAGAACAAAATAAACCAAATAAGAAAATCATTCAACTAGCACTGTTAGTTCCGACACTTGGAGGCAGAGAACAAGTAGCAGAATCACAGAGAATTTTATCTAGGCTAATAATCTAGAAGCTAAAGTCTTTACCTGTATTAACTGTTGAGTGATGTAGTAATTTGTCTTCTCTTTCAATTCGTCAATTTTGGCTTGCCTCTCTGCCCGAAGCTTTTCCAAAATCTTGTGGTCCTTCCTGTCACCTGTAAGTTGATATTCCAAATATGTATAGCTGTCAACAGAGGCATCTAATCAAGATCCCGCTCAAACCATTTTCAATAATAGCTCTAATATACTTATCTGCTACAAATGAATCAAATGCAGAGCAAAAGCTACATAAAATGATTATACTTCAATTTATCAATGAAAAACAATTTAGAACGAAAGGAAATTTAAATACCATAATCAAGTGGCAAATTAGTATTCAGATATTGCGAAGAAAACTATAACATTGTAACCAGTGATATGAGGAAAGAAAAACATCACAATGCAATCAGCCTACCCTCTCCACCTTCCTCCATTTTCTCATATAATAAACCAACTACTTTATTAAACTCCAAGGATAATAATATTTAGGGATTATGCAAAGGACTACCTACTGTAAAGCAAAACCATAGTTTTTACACAATTCCAAACTCATTATGAAGAACCAAATATCTAAGATATACTATTAAACATAAACCATACAACTTCAGGTAAACTTCACCAAAGTTCTAGTGAAAATTAATGAATCAAGAAACTCCATCTCTCATGAGTTACTTTGAGTACTCCTTTGCACAGTTATTCTAAAATTATGCATGACTTCAGAAGAACTAATGTGTTAAGAGTCAACAAAATGCCAAAAGGGTTCAACACATGTAAAATTGAATGACATTCCCAGAGTTAGGTTTGTCTCATAACTCTGGACATCAATACAGTCCAAAATCCATCTGAGCAACCTATAAATGGGCACATCGAAAGAAGAAAAAAGAAACAAAACCAGGATTTACATGTTCCAGTTACTTTTCTTCCGGCCACACTTATCGAGGTAATGAAACATGATCTCAGTAGAAAAGGTCAGCCTTGTATTAAGTACAAAATTATCTACCAAACTAGTACGCACCCCCGTGCGATGCAAGGGACAGAGATATTAAATTAGTTATTTTCACAGGCTTTGTCAGACAAAGTCTAAAAAGCATTAGAGTTATAATCTATTTTCTACCTCTTTTAATCAGGTTAAGTCTAAAAAACAATAGGGTTATAATCTATTTTCCACCTCTTTTGAATAGTGTTGTTTTTTTTTTTGTATTCGGAACATTAAATATGAGCACGTTAGGGCTAACTTGTAAAATAATTAATATATTATCTCACTAACATATTTGTACTAATATCAATTTGATTTCATATATAATTTATTCTTTGATATAACAAAAAATAACATTTTTACTTATTCTTGTTCACTATATAATACTTAATTATTATTTTATTATAAACTTTGTTGTCATATAATGTCATTATTATTTATAAAAATTATAAAAGTTGTACCTCTTCTTTTTTCTTTTTATTTTTTGTAATAAAAAATATTTAACGTACATTAGTATTATTTATTTATGTAATCAATTTATGTAAATAAATTTAAAATTAATTAGTGTATAAATATTTTACAAAATATATACGCGTGTTTGTTTACAATTTAATACTAATTAAAAAACTTTGATTTAGAAAATGCCAAAACTCAATCCCTTCTATGATCAAGATTTTTCTAATTCGCATTTTAAGGATTTATGGTTTATCTAGCATACTCTGAATGAAAATATATTTTAAAGGAATTTCATTATAGAAATAAATCAAAATAAAAAAATAAAAAAATAATCATGGTTGCCAATAATATAGAAATAAATTCTAAAGAACAGTTAATATATTTCAGTTTTAATTTTTGACCATTAGTAAACTATTTAATGTAATTGGTCATTATCTCTTAAATGGTAAATTATATTAATTTGAAGAATAATTTATTTTTTATATATACAAAGTAAAGCTTAAGGGAAAAAAATATTGGCAAAGATTAATTTACCAACTTGATTTTGCCTGATTAATTGCAAGAAAAAATTCTACCTCTGTTACGATTTTCTATAAATTTTATTTTGGATAAAAAGTGAATAGTTTTTAAAAGAAATAATATTATGGTTAGAACTTAAAATATGTTGTTTGACCAAAATATTATCAATATGAATCACATAAAGTCTATCTTGTAATTTATTATAATACATATCAATGAAATTATTGCATATATTAACAAAATCATTTAAGGAAACAATATTTTTTATCATTGATCTTATTTGAAAATGTTTATGCAATTAATGTATATATTTAAAAAGTTTCCAAAAAAGGTATACATTAAAGGATCCCTAATTTTCTTACTACTATTTTTAATAAATGGTTATTCTATAGATATAAGAAGCCCCAACTTACACTATAAAGACACAAATCTTTCAATAAGAATGGGATATGCTGAAATCTTTTCCGCTCATAAATAAGTCACTTAACCATTAATGTGGGAGCTTCTGAACTACAGAAGAAAGTGCAAACAACGATGTCAGTCTGTAACTCTCAATCCAAAACAAAATTTCTTATGACAAGCAAATATTTAGCAGCTACCGGAGGTCAAAGCAAATATTCTCGCCACAGAACTTAAGTTCTTTCTAGGGCTCAAATTTAAGGCCTTCTAGAGAACAAAACTTTGTACCGAAGACTTTCTCAGAAAGAAATTGAATATCTAGAGATAAAAAAATAAAAATAAAAACTATGTAACTCTCTCAGAAAGCAATTGAACATTTAGAGATAAAAATGAATAATAAAACTATGTCACAGATTTAATTTTCTATCAATAACTGCCACTGTAACAAAGTAAAGCAATAAAATAAAACCCCATAATGACCCTTATCATATTTCACATTGCAGAACCACTCAAATTTTGGATAGCGAGCTTCACATATAAGTAAGCATTAAGTAGTTTTTGTCAGAGAAATTTAGGAAAAAATCAGGACAATATCATAAAATCAATCAAGAACATATACATCATCTGTATCCAAAGAGGAAAAAAAAGTTGAGTTTTATAAAGAATTTATACAAAGAGTACTGAGACACTTACGCATCCTTGAGAAGCTTCTTAGTGTTGAATAAGTAATGAAAGACAATGCTGGTAGCAAAAACATAGGTAAGACTCGCAAAGCTCTCATTTGCCAGTTCAAGTTTAAAGATCTCGTGGTCATAACAGCATAACCCACTGCTACAACCTAGACGGGAGTAAAAGAACAGATTCTTAGCCACATGGGTTAGGGAACTAAAAAACACACCACTAAGACCAGTGAAATTCAATACTATTCTCTCAAAAATATAATGGAAGTATTTACCTCAATAAGAACAGAAATTAGAATAAAGTGCCTTGTCATCCTCCGGCAACGATGAGAACGCTTAGTGATTCTGGCAAGAACAGATGCCTCTTCCTTAGATATATGTTCCAATCTCTTCTGGAAATCATCCCTATGTACTCTAAATAGTGCATCCCATATCCTTGATAGAATGCTTTTTTTCTTCTTTGTCTTCTTAGTCTCAGTATCTGCCGATGTGACAAATTCTGTGTCATCGTTCGTAGGTTCTGAAGCCATTTTCTGCAAGTTTAATGCCAGGTTAGAACACCATCTTCATATCATTTTAAGTTAGCAAAGTGAAAACGCCAAAAACATTTTCAATGTGATTTCAACATCATTTCTTGAAGATTTTACAGCAGTCTATACACAGCACTTCCCTGCTAGTTTTCAGATCAAAGAAATCTAACACTGTTTCGATGTAACAACAGTAATACAATCGTTCAGGTTGGTGCTCGGCAAGACATATCTTGCCAAACAAAAGCCTCAAATCTTATATACACGACGGTACAACAGTTCAGATTGGTGCTCGGCCAGACACATCTTGTCAAACAAAAGATCAAATTACGAATTAATAAAAGCCCAAACCCAATCTCAAATATGTTTGTCAAATATAATCACGGTTTTGAGTAATTATGCTAGCTTCAGTACTATAGAAAGAGATTGGAGCAGATCTCATATCTGATTTGGCACACCTGATAATTGAAGCAATGGCCTAAAAAGAGATCGGTGCTGCTGCGGGGGTGATGGTGGCGCGAAGCGAAGCGGAGTCGATGGCCGGGTGGAGGCAACGACAGCAGCTTAATCGGTTCCAGAATAAATTTACTCGCTTCGATTGAAACAAAAGTATATTCTATTTTATTTTTTATTTTTTTTCTACTATTTCCCTGTATAAGACGTAGAATCTCGTGAGCTTTATTTATTAGGGATAGTAAAGGGGTTAATTATTTAAAATAGATAGTGAAAATGTTATTTGTCCAAATGATCCAACCATTAAGTAAAGAAAAATAAATATTTGAAAAACCTGAAATACCCTTATATTTAAAAAAAAAAAAAAAAAAAAA